TGTGGAAGACAAAGTGAGGCTTGCAGGGGCTAACTGAGTCATTTGTTTCACACAGACACAAGGTGAAGCTGACACCAGGCTCTCAGAAGAAAGGAAAAGGTAAGAATAGTGATCTGTTCTAATATTCATAAAGCCTCTGCTGATTGTTTTTACAGTGAAAGTTATTGCTTTTGGAGTTGATTGATTGATTTTCCTGTCCCTACCAGCTGCACGCACTGCAGTTTTTAGCTTTATGAAAGCAAAAGATGCCTCAACCAGAGAGAAAGACCTGTTCCGCAGTGTCAAGGTAAAGAAGTTAACTGCTTTTTTCGCGGTGTACTATGTTATATTTTTAATGACATTTCTATGACATACTATACGATGACTATGACTGAATTTTTGATAACATAATTTATGGTATGCTATACTATGACATTTCTACAGCATACTATTTTATGAAATGTTTCTAACAGCATTGTTGAAGAAATCTGAGGCAGTCAAGAGGGTCATTTAAAAAGCTTTTACTACCTCAGGGCTCAAAATTTTTATGACGTACCATACTATAATGTTTTTATGACACACTATACCATGACTCTCTTAATGGCATACTATACTGTGACTTTTTTAATAACAGACTATGCTATGACTTTTTTTGACATACTATACTATGACATTTATTAGGACATTATACTATGAGTTCTTTAAGTTACACTGTAGTATGACATTTTTTTGATATACTATACAATGACATTTTTGGACAAATTATACATTTTTTTGAAACACATTATACTATGACTTTTTTATGACATGCTATACTATACTGTTATTTTTACATACTACACCATGATATTTTCATGGCATACAATACAATAACATTTTTTGACATATTAAACTATGACTTTTTAATGACACTTTTTTTTAACACATTTTAACGACAGACTATAATCTAACTTTTATAGTACGTTTATACGACTTACTATACTGTGACTGTTCACATTTTTTACGACATACTATTCAATGAATTTTTTATCAAATTTAT